CGTTTTTTATGCTGAAGCCTGGTCTTCTGGGGAATACTTGATGGGACCGAGATATTAAAAAAAAACTATGAAGAGACTCGCACAGACAGACAGATGAGACAGGGAATGGAAAAGCACAGTTGGACAAAGAGAAATGGGTTTGGAAGGGGATCAAGTGTAAAAAGGGTGTGTAGGTGAAGGAAATGAGGGAGGCTAAAGACAACGGGGAAGGAGATAAATGCTTCAGACAGGAAGCAGAATAAAAAGGATGGATGGAGACAGAAAGGTGCTATAAATGAGTGTTTTGGCCTCTAAAGAGCAGTAAGCAGCCAGCTAAGCAGGCGTCTGACCAGTTCAGGTGTTATCATGCCTTCCTCACAGGCTCTGTATTGACTGACTCTGGTGGAGAGGGAGAAGTGATAATTGGCGATGTGCTTACCTGGCGAGTAGCCTGCAACCCCCAGCAGGGCGGGCACACACACACACACACACACACACACACACACACACACACACACACACACACACACACACACACACACACACACACACACACACACACACACACACACACACACACACACACACACACACACACACACACACACACACACACACACACACACACACACACACACACACACACACACACACACACACACACACACACACACACACACACACACACACACACAACACACACACACACACACACACACACACACACACACACACACACACACACACACACACACACACACACACACACACACACACACACACACACACACACACACACAGATTGACATTAGCGTAAAACCAATCCAGGCGTCTCTCCTATGGAATACTAATATGGCTGCCCTTGCCAGCTGACCTCTTATAGGCCAAACAGGCTGTCCGTCAAACTAATGGGGCGTAACGCTGGCATATTGCTTTCCCACAATCCCTCAGCAGAGCCAGGACACTCATTTACTTCAGTCAGCTTGTTGCCAAGGCAACATTTAGGATGGGTTTGGTGGTGGATGCATCCACACACATGCACACTGCTTTACAATAGTATGTACTTGTGTACACACAAACTTAAATTAAGCAACCTGTTCAATACTAAGAACTACTCCACGTACATAAACATAGTGCTGCGGTGAGAAAGGAGAATCTACGCGGCGGCTGAGACACTGACAGCACTGTCGGCATGAGGAAGGTACACTAAGTGCTCTTTGCCTCTTGTCTTGTCTCCCCGCCCCAAAACCAATCTTCTGCTCTCTACTTTTATTCACAATACACGCTCTCTTGTTCTGAAAGGCATTCAGACAAGCCTGTCCTCCGCCTGCATCTATTCTCCTCATCCAGACAAGGAGAAAGCAGAAACACAGGGACCAGACTTCCACAGCTGGGTATCAAACCTCATTCTTGTTCTGGAGGATTGATTATAGATGTCAGCACACACAAAGTCAGCTCTGCAAAAAAAAATCCGGTGCGAGGGAGGGTCTTGTTCTTTATTCCCCACCAAATTATAAAAAATGTAAGTGGATGAAATTTTTACTGGGATCATGCTCATCTATTGTGTGCTGGTCCGGATGTCTTAAGACACGTAAACCAATCATTTGCTTCATGGCTGGTTCACATCCTGTGCGCTCACTCCCCACAGACCCAGAACAGCCTCTCTTATAGCAGCTGCCTTTGTTTTGAACTGTGTGTCTCTATAATATTATAGAAGAACAGCACATTTGTGATTTCGACAGGAAAATTCCATAATTATAAATTAAAAACCTACGCCCCGGGTTTCTAAGACAAGTTATCCCCTTGAATCAAGTAGGAATCTAGATTAACTTTGTCGACTTGTTTGTGGTAGGACTAAAATATAATTGGCAATATGCAACACTAAAGCACCACCACTACATCATATACATAATTATTCCTTGGCCTTAAGGCTCTGTCTTGAGTCCAAATCTAGTTACACAACCTTGTTTATTTCAGTTTTGGGCTCATATGTTGCATTTTTCTAAATTAATCCATGCTGAATCAAATTACCACACAGCAACTGGCATGCCAACAGTGGTATTTCAGGGTTAATAGGGGTCATGTTCCTGTCCCTACTGACCATGAGGCAGTCCCTTGATTTAGTGAAAGCACTGTCAAAGCAACCCTGTCTCCTACATAATTACATTCCCATGAACTAAAGTGCTACTCAATTATATTTTGGGGGACACATCTTTTTAACCGTATTATGGTTGCATCCTAGCTACCCACTGCATTTAGTCACTGTATTTTGTCTCTTACAGTCTTTTTGATCTAAAAGAGTGACGTCCTTATGGCCATTGGAGATAAGGAATAATAACAGTGATGAATTACTCTTTTAGTGTACATGTGATTTAGGGGTTTTTATACATAAATGTGTCCCCAATGTGTTAAGAGATTAAGAAACTTTCAGGTAACACAATTATCTCCCTTGCTCTCCTGATCCTTAAAAACCTGTCTGAAAATAAGATCAGATAAAAATCAGATATGGCAACCTTGTGACGACATAACCTTTTCTTAGGTTGGGCAACCATTGCATTATATATATCAGAGACCTATATATCACATCAAAACAAAACAAGGTCTCGCTGTATTGGAGTGGTATCAGATTAAACTGTGGTTTAGTGCGCTTTGACGATGAACGGAGTTTGAAATAGTAGCTTAAAGGGTGCTTGTTTACCTCCTGTGTGCTGCCGAGGAGCCCTTGAGAGGGACCAGATAAAGTTCATTATTATAAAAAAGTACAACTTCAACAGTGAAACATGATGTTTTCATCCCTGAAAATGGTTTATAGTGGCTTGAAATATGTTTAATAGGTTCAGCTCCTCTTCCATATATACTGTAGAGGAGATTTCTGTGCAGGCCACAAACCTGTGGAAAAACACTTCAATGCACCACGCATCCCAAAGGTACATTACTGACATATGGTGACCTAGAAGGAGAACCAGATACATGCTTCAAAGTGTGAGTCCTGGCTCCAGCAATTCCATTGGCATTTATTCTCAAATCAAACGCATATGTATTTATATGAAGCAACTGTCTGGCTGTCTGACTGAACCACTGATCATCATCTGGGATTTTGTTACTATTTGGAAAATCAATCAAAGCAGTGAAACGTTGTATTGCTAGATAAGCTCTAGATAAATGAGCAATTGTAGCCAGTGGTCATAAAAAAATGTTAATTTCCTGTCCTTGAGTTTGTTGTTGATGCGCCGCTGGAGCTCAGCGCCGCTCCGGATTGAAGAAAACAAAGTCGGCAGGTGTGCGTTTGATCTAACTGAATGACATTTACCCAGGTACCCTCGAGACTGAGTAGAAAAGCACTGTAAAGACCTTTGTTGTCTCAGCTCCAATGGAAACAGCTGGAAGAATGTATTCTTGGTTACTCAGTGCAGATTGTGACCTCGGCACTGGAGATGTATTAAGAATATTCTTCTGTGATACATTTCTACTCAGCCCCTTGCATCTGTATATTATCTATTGGACCTTTATTCCTTTTTGTCTCTCTTGTATTTTCACACTCACCCTAGTCTCCCCTCGTCTCTCCTGTTTACTCAATTCTTCCCCTTGTTTCTAAGCTTACCTCTCTCTCTCTAATTAACAACTAGCCTCTATCTGCCTTGGCAAACCCCTAAGGACGGGGCTGGAAAGAGAGACAGCACAAGGGAAATAAGAACATTAAGATAGAGATGAGAGAAATCAACTGAGCCAGAGACAAACTGGTAAAGAGTGACAGAGAGAAATGGATAAAAAAAAGTATGCAGATGGTGGTTGTTGGATAGGTAACCTCTACTAACCCATCGTTGGACAAATGTTCAGAATTAAACAGCTATTGTGTTTTCATTTAACTGAATATATTTTTATAAATGAATAAACCAATGTTAACATGCTTTTCATTAAATGAACATAGTCTGACGCGAACACAGTTCACAGCCTCTCTAGAAACCATCTGTCTTTGTAGAGCCATCAGAGACTTCAGGACAACATCAAACGATGCTGTAGATCTCGCGCTGCTTGACTGCATGTAGTGGGTGCCATGTGTGAAGCAGTCCATTTTTATGGCTTGAGGCTCATCTGGTGTATATCGTTAAGGGTGGAGCCCGTGTGCGTGTGTGTGCGTGTGCGTGTGTGTGTGTGTGTGTGTGGATGCTTAGGACTTACGGCTTCAATAAGACACTTTAGGCAAGCAAATGCACTTTTAGAGGCAGGCAAATGCTCTGTGATTAACTCATATACGGTTTCTCATGCACATATACAGGTGTGCCACGACAGTGAATATGTCACCATGGAGACTGGACAGCTGAAACATGTGCAAGCGCGCACACACACACATCCACACAAACATACAAATTGGAAGGGTAAAATGGCAGTGCAAGTCAGCTGGTCTGAATGGTTAAGAGCTGTTTGCCCAAATGAAGAAAAAGATAACCACCACCAAAAACACCATCACCCAAATTTGCAAGCATTAACAAACACACAGCTGGAAAGGAGTGTGTATGTGTGTGTACATGTTTTAGTGAATGCAGCTGCTGCATTAGCTTTACAGATTTATTACAAGTATCGATTAAACGTTGACGTCCGACATCACACGCACGCAGCAAAGCACTGAGTCAACAATACATTGAAAAATGGCTGTTTATATCCACAGCATTCCACACCCGTAAATTATGAAGTATGGACTTTGCACCTGCGCTCACACACACTCACACACAGACACACAGACACACAGCGCAGCATGCAAACCCACCTTGAACACCTGCCACAACAAAGAGCTACCTGCTCCAATACAAAGACAAACACCACGCATACGACACAGAAACACACACATACATACACACTCTCTTTAGTTAGCACGTTGCACTGCATCATCTGATTACAATTATTTATTGTCCAGGACTATTTGCACCACAAAGCTATACCGGTAATATGAACTGAGGGAGACAAGTATCTTGGCAGCAAATCCAAACACACACAGCCGATGGATCAGACAGGTTGTGACTTACCTCCCCCTCCTCCGAGCAGAGTCTTGTTGGCTGAAAGAGAGACAAGAAAGAAGAAATACTCATGAAACAAACATGTCTGAAAACAAATACGTATCAACTGGTGGACGTGCATACAATTATTCAAAATGTTAAATGGGCACAGCTGAAGTCAAGGTTTTACTACATCAAATCAGTTGTAAAAACATCAATTTAGAGCTAAAGTTATTAATTACTTAAACAAACAGTTAATTATTATAATGTTTTGAAAACTGATTAACTGGATGGTTTTCAAGCAAGAATACTAAACACTCCCTGGTTAAAGGTCCTCTGATATTACGATTGTGTAAATGTTAAATGCATATCTGCTAGCCAGCACATGTGAACATCAACTTGGACTGTAAGAACTTGTGATGAGCAGAAAAAAGAAATGTTTTAATATAATAAATAATCATCAGTTTAATGAAAGAAATCAGTAGTGATGACGTGTGATATAAAAGGTGGTAGTTTTGATTACTGTTTGCAAAAGAGAAATCACCAATCAGTGCTAAAATGCTCTGTACTACCTTGACCTTTCACCAGAGGGTTAAAAAAATATCATCATCCACCGCACCTCATCACTGTATTTATTTAAAGCTGAGTTCAGAACATTATTTGCACTGATGCGTGGGTGTGATGTTCAGAATCTCTGATCTCAAAGGTTTAATAAAGTCTAATTGGTTGAGTTTTGTGTACTGAAATAACTTTTGCTTATATTTACTTGCTGGAGGGAAAAACATCTCCACATTTGTCCTTGGGAGCATGATTTGTTATTGGTGCCAGCATCGCTCAACAAGAGTGGTTCCCAACCCAAGGGCTCACAGTGCCGCTGGGTTTGCCAACCAGCGATTAATTGCATTCACCTGGCATTGCAGGTGTAACTCCGTGATTAGATGGTAGAATGAGAAGCAGCAGGCTCTGAGTCCCGTCGATGAGGACTGAGAAGAATAGCTCCACTGACTGCAAAGCTAATGAAAAAATAACTCATGCTGAGCTTGTAGTCCAAAGGAAAATAAACAACTCTGTGCGACTAAACAGGAAGGTTCAATTTGTCTTCAAGTTGATCATACAGGGACTTTATACCAAGGATAAACAAGGAGGTGATAGTAGCTTAAATTCAATAAAAATATTTTAAAGCTCTTTTAAAGAGAGAAAAGTCGAGATGTAATACTCGTTGCCATGGCTGGCCACAAACCATTATCTTCCCTGCTGGAATCAAGTCACTGCACATGTGTAAAGAGTGTGAATCACTGGGTGATAAGGTAGGCTGCTGCAGCTTCTGAAATGTGCAATTTCCAAGTGTTTTTCTCACCCACATATCCATAAGTCAGCAGTGCTAGCCTGGGGGGATCTGCATCGCTTTCAGAAAACTCAAACCTGACCATAAACTCGTAAAAATCATGTTTTCCAATTCTTTCCCTGCTCGTGGATCAAATGTGTGGTTGCTGTGACCATGTTAGGAAAATCTGATAAGCACATAATCTGCCTGGGAGGGACAGCTACAAAGTTACCTCAAAACACACAGGGGACTTTTCTTATTTAAGTTACTGTCTGCCGGCATTGAGCCAATTGGGCACGCACTCAGATGGTGTATCAGGCAACTGTAAAAAGAGGAGAAAAGAAAGACAAAATCCCCAAGCTGTCTTTCCCTCACAAGAATCCTCTATTCTTCAACATTTTCACCATCCCCCACTGCCTCATTAATGGTAAACCCCCATTAATTTCAGCCTTTTAAACACACCAGCCTTCTCTGCATATGTCTCACTAACATCTCCCTAAGTAAATATCTCCCTCTCAGATTGAGTATGTGCAGCTCACTACAGCATGAGCTGAAAAAGAGGAAGTTATTTAATGTGAATGAGTGAGCGGATTTCAAGTGCACATCTTATTTAAGAGCTGATAGATTCTACTGAGAATTGAAATAAAGCTCATTCAGATGTAAAAGACCAGACAATAAAATGTCTCCATTAGGTCTCCCATTCTTCCTCTGCTGTTTAGCTGCAGGCCGTATAAGAGTGATATTCCGTACTGCGTCCTGTTAAATACGTCCATGTTGACTAACACGCCCAAGGCCATCTGACTGGTGAAAGGTTTCTCATTTATAGGAAGGGAAACTGCCTGAAGGAGAGACGATGCATCATGCACAGTTACCACAGTGGTGACACCGGGACTGGGAGGCACCAGCTGTTTGTAATTCATATCGTACTGGAGGTTTGTATCTTTAAAATACTTCTTAAGATAGTATCAGGGATTTACAACATTTTAGATAAAGGTCTTAGTTAGATAGATGTTTTGTATATCAGTTTCTAGCAAACATCTGTCCAATCAAAAGTAATACATCATGTAAAAAGTCACATTAGGATCAAAAAGTTGTAATCTATCCGCCAAAAAATAAGATGGGGGGGGTTATGGGTGGAAATAAACATTACTAAATCTAATCGTATCTACATAAATCCATGTATTACTTTGTTTTATTTCCATCAACATACATGAGAAAGTATGTGTGTTTTAGGGTATGTAGTATTCATGCAGTTTAAAATGAGGGAATATTCAACAGATGCTATCTGGTTATTAAGTGTTAGAGAGATCTCACTCGTCACCGGCTTGAGTTTCAATATCAGGATACATGTATTTATTATCCTTGCAAGTATGGAAGTAGTCATCACACACAGAGCATTTGGTACAATTAGTTCCTTCAGATGCTTGTATAAAGAGAGGGTGTTACAAGATGCAGGAATACCGGTTCAAAGCAGTATTCAATGATTAGTTCAGATTAGCTATGGCCCACGTAAGGAATAAATATGACAGTCATATGCCTATCTCCATAGAGGCTGAATCATCATGTTAATCGTTGTCACATAGCTTAGCATATTCCTGAAACAGTGTTCCTGATGCTCTTTCTAGGTAATCATACATCCTATCATGTACATAGTTACAGTTGGGCCTTTGTTATCATGTGCTACTCTGATATTGGAAGAGTACATTCAGTATTTTCCCAACATTAGGTCTAATGATTTGAGGTATTTTGGATTATTTTTGTGAATTGTATCTTCCAAATTTATATCATTTTAAATAAGAGTTTTGGTCAGATGTCAAGACAGAAATCTACAAATGTCATGTGCATGCTAATGTTAGCCATTTGGTACAGAAAGCTACACAACAGTTACACTGGTAATTCATGAGTGTAAAATATTTAGGAATAACTCATCTTTGTTGATACAGTTTGGTACAAAACATTTAAAATATTCTCTTCTTCCCGGCCTCAGCGACATCAGAAGCACACGTCCCTTGACCACAGATTAGGGTTAGGCTGCTCGTAAACAGTTTGAAGCCAACTTCTAAGTTAGTCTTGTGTTTGGACAAGCATTGTCTGCTGGCGTCGCCTGAATATATCGGTGTGTTCTTGTGATTCGTTGACTGCCATTTAATAATTGAGGCTGAAAATAAGATATCATTTAGTTTTACGATATGATACACTAATACTTTAATGTCATATCAAGTCTGAAATGGTCTTCCATCACAGCAGCTCCATTCGCAACATTAGCAAGGACAAATATCTAAGACAAGATATGAGGAGATAGACATTTGCAACCTATTTTATTCTAGTGATGTGTAGATCTCCACTTAGTAAAGCACATGTTATGGGTGGGCTAACTTTGGACCCTATGGAGAGCTTGTGCAGCCAACTCCGGCACAACTATGGCAATTTCACTTCAAACAGGATTAGAAAGTTGAGGTCCGGGAAAGTTTTGAGCAGATGACAGAGATGGTAATGTGGGACCAGCGGTTGCATCACACTTGGTAAGAGACTCAAAATGTTGTCACAGTTGGGACCAGGTGGATAAATCCTGACCAGGAGAACAGCACTAAGGGGTTCCTTCAGTGCACTTTAAATGAAAAAATATATGCTTAGATGCTTTTACTGTTATGTGCCAGATTATGACGGTAAATGCAATTCAGGATTGATCTTGTGGAAATGTATTTTTCATTATCTTCCCTACTTCCTGCCTTGTCTACATGTATGTCAGTTTATGTCCCACATTTTTTCCGATAATGTCATTGCAGTAAAGCCCAGTGAGCACAATCACACAGTGCTAGTGAAACCCTCCACTCAAAACACAAAATGTTTTATGGCTGTATTGCCTTCTGTATTACTCAGGCTGCCTTGTAGAAATCTGTATCACTGCCTCTGCGGCGATGGATTTCTCTCTGTAAAACTGATGAGCGGTTGCTGGAAAATGGTTTGTAAAACATAGACCTTCTCTTTCCATCTGAAGAACTGACACCAAGGGCTGGCGGTATCGGATGTTTTAGATTGCTGAAATATTTGTTCTACTCCTTTGTAGCTGCTGGAAATGTCACAGTGAGAGGGTGACACTGTCTGTGTTTGGACAGCTTTCATCAGAAATGAGGACAATTATCGCACCAACTGTTAACAGAAAGGCCCCAGAAAACTCAGGACATGGCCAGCAGAACGGAAAAGAAATGCGTTGGTGGGAAGGTGATGCTGCGGGGCACAGTGAAATACAATCCTAGAAGTAAGGTTTGAGTAATAGATTTTCAACACTGCACCAGGGTGTTTGAAAGACTATGAGAACAGAAGGTAACAGAAATACATATTGTGAATTACAGCTCACTTTACAAAGCAATCTATCAGGAATGTGGGTAGAAATGTACGTGACTGATTGCATCCACCAACCTATCTTTCCTTCACTTTAAAACGAGTTCAACACAATGGATGTCTTCGAGGATTGTACAGCGTGCACTGTTGTACGATTTAATGAATCAAGACAACGAAGACATGCAAAAGACACTGCGCTCTTGCCTAAGACGTGGTCAGACGTCACGTTGTTTGAAGTATACTGTACCCTAAACAATTATATAACTCTTCACAGCTTTCACTTCACTGCAGCTCCCTGGAAGCTGTATTAAACACTTGGACTGCTTACCATTCTTATAGTGTTACAATAATCATTTGTCATAGTAGGTATGAAAAACAGTACTTGTTTTTGTTC